TGGTTGGCAGGCCAGTGCTCTGGCCGCACACCGACGTGCCTCTTGCTCTAGCAGAGGGCCGGTTAGCAGAAGCCCTGCGGGGAGGGAAGGGGTTTGAACCTGTGGGTCAGCAGGGCCTGGACGGGTCTGTGCAAGGACAAGGGACAGGTCAGCGGCCCGGCCTTGGCTGCAGCTGCGTCAGTTGCGCTTCAAGAGAGGCCTCGGGGATAGGGTGCCCCCTGGGGAGCCGGCCACCCCACGGATGGAGCTGGCTCCCGCATTAGGAAGGCAGGATAAGGGACCCACTGAAGGGAGGGAGGGGAGGTGGGCTCTGGAGCGGCCATGGGGATTGGGGAATGTTCCAGAAAAGCTGCTCCACTGGGACCCCGGCCCAGCTGCCTTGAGGTTCAGCGTCGTGAAGGCCCTTCCCCAGCCTGCCCCCGCCCCGCCCTGCCAGGCTGCGTTTTCCACGGGGCTGCGGGAAACGGGCTTTCTGCAGAGGAGCCGTTCGAGGGATGACGTCAGTTCCAGCTCTCCGGAGCGCCCGTCTCTCGGCCTCTCGACCTGGCAGACATTAACTATTAAAGATGCTCCGTGAAAACCACGCGGAGAAGCCGCTCAACACAAGAGCGGAAGCAGCAGCTTTTAGAGCCAGGGAGGGAGGCGCGGAGGAATTTTGGCCTCCCCAAGGTGAACGAATCAATCTCTTCCCATCCCCCTCCACCAGGCGTTCTCCCACCCAAGGGCCGGGAAGAGCTGGCCGGTGCCTCTCGTTTCACAGGTCCCGGGCTTTGCTTCTGGGCGTGGCCCTGCAAGGATGCTTTGCACGTGGCCCGGGGTCTGCTTGACAGCAAGCAGCTGATGTTCCCCGGGGATGTGGAGCACTGCCAGGCTCTGATGCAGTGCTTGGCTCGGAGGCAGAGAGATCTGGAGTGATCCCCTAGCTCGGAGCTGCCCATGCACCCGTTGGCCCAGCATGGCCAGGCTGCATCGGGCTCGGCCCCTGCTGAAGAATGAGTTTGCCAAGTCCAGCCTCCCCCTACACCTGCTTTGTCTGTACAAAAAGGCACCTCCCTGTGCTCTGGCAAGTTCCTAGAATCCTAGAATTGGAAGAGACCTCAGGAGTCATCAAGTCCAGCCCCCTGCCCGAGCCAGGACCAATCCCAACGACATCAACCCAGTCAAGCCGAGACTTAAAACCCTCTAGGGATGGAGATTCCACCACCTTGCTAGGGAACCCAGCCCAGCGCTTCCCCACCCGCCTAGGGAAATAGTTTTTCCTAATCTCCAACCTAGACCTCCCCCACTGCTCCTCTTTGGAACCTCCCTTCAGGGAGTTGAAGGCTGCTCTCAAATCCCCCCTCGCTCTTCTCTTCTGCAGACTAAATAGACCCAACTCCCTCAGTCTCCCCTCATAGGTCACGTGCTCCAGCCCTCTTAGCATTTTGGTCTCTGCTGGACCCTCTCCAATGCGTCCACATCCTTTCTGTAGTGAGGAGCCCAGAACTAGACACAATACTCCCGATGTGGCCTCACCAAAGCCGAATAAAGGGGAATAATCACATCTCTGGATCTGCTGGCAATGCTCCTCCTAATGCACCCCAATATGCCATTAGCCATCTTGGCTACAAGGACACACTGTTGACTCATATCCAGCTTCTCATCCACTGCGATCCCCACTGTTGCTCAGCCAGTTGGTCCCCAGCCTGTACCAATGCTTGGGATTCTTCCGTCCCAAGTGCAGGACTCTGCACTTGTCCTTGTTGAACCTCATCAGATTTCTCTTGCCCCAAACCTCCAATCTGTCCAGGTCACTCTGGACCCTATCCCTGCCCTCCAGCGTATCCACCTCTCCCCCTAGCTTAGTGTCATCTGCAAACTTGCTGTGGGTGCAATCCATCCCCTCATCCAGGTCATTAATAAAGATGCTGAACAAAACCGGCCCTAGAACCGATCCTTGGGGCACTCTGCTTGAAACCGACCGCCGACCTGACATCAAGCCATTGATCACAATCCGTTGGGCCCGACAGTCTAGCCAGCTTCTATCCACCTTACAGCCCATTTCTCCAATCCACACTTCCCTCGCTTGCTGACAAGAATATCGTGGGAGACGCATCCAAAGCCTTGCTAAAGTCAAGGTCTATCGCATCTACCACCTTCCCCTGTCCACAGAGCCAGTTACCTCACGTTGAGGTTGAGAGTCATTGGCAGGGCTGGGCATGGGGAGCCTGGCCTGGCCCAGCCCACTCAGGTACCTGGGCAGAACTGGGAGGGAGCCAGGCCTGGAACAGCTGGGGGTGGTGGATCAGCAGAGCTGGGAGGAGCCCAGGACTGGCACAGCAGTGGGGGGGCTGTGGATCAGCTGCATCGGCAGCGTGTCTGCGCCCCATCATCCAACGGTAATGGGCAAGCCCCCGGGGGATGGCAGCCAGGGGACAAAGGTGCCAGGAAACACACAGCCATACTCTTGCCATGGCAGCTCTGAGCCAGCTGGCCCGGGGCTGCCAGGGCCTCACGGGATTGCGCACGGCAGACTAATTGGCCACTGTGGGAACACTTCCCGCGTGTGTCTGCCTGCAGCTCCCGCCCCCTGCCCCCTGCCGTACAACACACGCCAGCCCTGTCACCCGTATCCATTGCTGCCTTCCTGGCTGCACAGAGCTCTGGGCCATGGCACCAGCATGCCCCTGCCCAAGCTGCCATCTCCTGCGCTCTGCTCCCCGCCGTCAAGCAGCAAAGCACCCAGCTCCTCCCCAGGAATGATCCCGCCAACAGCTGGGAAGGAGCCGCAGGAGGGGTGGGTGGGCCAAGCTGGCAGCAACCAATGCGCCCTCTAATCTTTCCAGCCATGTGCAGAATAATGTTATGTGCACCGAGGCAGGTGTGAATGTGCACCACCCACAGGAACAAACCCCAGTTGTGGGTGCTCTGCTAATCAGCTGGGCGGCATTGGAATCTCTCCTGGATAGAGGCACAAGTGCCCAGCTTACAGGGAACACTGCCCAGCACCTGGGCAGGACCCAAGTTCAGCTCCTGAGCTACCCACCCTGGCAGCCGGCACTGAAGGAAAGGCCTCTGGGTTGGGAGGGGGGAGGTGCCTGGTGCCTGGTGCCTGGTGCCAACCCAGCGTCCCCCCGGATGGAGGTGGGGGGCAGAGGCCGTGGCTGCAAGGGAAAGTGCTGCAGACTCATGCCAGGCTAGGGAGGGATGCAGGGGTCCCCGACCCTCCTCCCCAGTCATGGCGGATCCGCAGCTTTGGGTTCAGTTCACATCCTGCTGCCCTTCCCATGCCCAGAGAAAGCCCCTTACACGTGACCAGACAGAGCCACCCACCCCCGTGGGGAGCACAGAGCATCAGCCCCTGCCCACATATGGGGAAACTGAGGCACGGGGGGGGGGCATGGCCCACACAC